TTTTCAATACTAAAAATTAATTTAAATTATATCAAAAATTAATTGAAACTAAGCTAAATTAAATAAAATAGTTATTTGATATTTTCTTTATAAAAATATTAAAAATGTCGAAATTATTGTTGAAATTAAAAAAGTCAAAAATTAATTTAACCCTCATCTATACATGGAGTATTGAAAAACACCACAACACATTATTATCACTAATTAATAGAACAATGAATTATTTGATCATCTAAATTGCTTGTGACATCAATATCAAGTTGTTGGTCTTCCCAGCATCGCCATAAAAATTTTACTGTCACGTGATCATACCGAAAATCTTTAAGTTCGTTTAGGTTAGGGTTAGGTCTGTGCTAAGGTTAGGGTTTTGAGAGTTTTTAATAAAAAATCGCTCAAGGAAAACTTTTTGTTAATACACAGGTGATTTCTTATGCAAATTTTTGAGAAATAAGCGTTTCTTGTTTTTTTTGAAAACGAACGTTTGTTTTGAATTTTCCTGTTACACCAAATCACAATTAATCATTGGCTAATTTGCTGTCGATCATCATGTGACTGTAGAATTTTTCTGGCGATACTGGGGCAGTTAAACTACCCTAACCTAAACGAACTTAAAGAATTTTTCGGTGTGGTACACATAATCACGTGTCGGTGAAAATTTTGGTGGCGATCTAGGGGATGCAAGATGGGGTAGTTATCAAGTTGGGAGCGTCTCCGGACACTTACCATTTCACGTGAATTTGTACTTAAACGAAATCATGCGATTGAAGTACATACGTATAATGATAATAAATGCATAATGCTACCTGAATAAACTTGCATAGGCATAATTGTGATATACATTTATATCATATATCTAATATTCAAAAGAATACCATATCGATATAACTTGGTAAGTACAAATTCACGTGAAATGGTAAGTGTCTGGAGATGCTCCCTATCAAGTTGAAGATCCGTTTCTTTCCCGTAACATAGCACGTGGTAATCGATCGAACCCCACCGATCAACGCAGTAATCGTGATTTCGTCACCCGTGACTAAAATAAGCAGTATATTCATAATAGAAGAATTAGAAGCGTCAGTTTCAAATACTTATATTACAACCAAAATAGATTATAAGTCCAAGAAGAAAGAAGACTTGTCTGAGCCCCCAGTACTATCTACACGACCCAAGCTCTGATAACCCGGACCAAATCTCGATCGTAGCCTTTCAATTTTGGAGTTTCGGTTTTGTTGTTAGGCTCTAGATTGTTATTTGTTGTGTTGTACTAAGTTATTTAGTTATTAGCTTATCGATTTTCACGCCCACAACGTACGTACAATTTTCAAGGGATTACGTAATCGAACATTTCTAGAAATCACGAATCGGCCAATCGGTCGATTTTTACCAAATGCCCCAAAATTTATGAAAACAGCTGTAATTGTCTATGTACTCGAACGTATTCGAACAGCTCCATATTTATTATTTAAACTAGCAATTAATGAATACGTTTTTCATTCAATTCTAAGCCTTAGAAGAGAATCGATTCTAACCTTTCTTTTATCAACTGACCCAGCTCACGAAGATACAGGCAGACTGGCCTGCCCATCAACCGGTTGTTGGGCAGAGTCAATCCGTATCACTAATACAGGGCACTGTCAATTACGCAAAATTCTATTAACAAAACCACGGCACCAATTAATCAAAAATCCAAATTTATCATAGTTTTCTCTTTCTTTGATTCAAAAATTGAAAAAAAAATCAAATTTCATCCAAAATAAAATTTTGAAGACCATCGGCCTAAAATTGTGTGAATACAGGGCAAGGCTATTTGAAATTGTAATTTCGTTTAACGTTCCTTTTGAAGCTTAAGCACAGTGGGGGAGGGGTATCAATTTAAACAAACATTATGTTATGTTGCAAAAATAATCACATTATTATTGGTTGGCTTATAAGCACGTGCCTTATTGGAATTTCAAGGCATAATGAACGTTCTGATTGGCCTGTTTAATTTTAGGGGGAGCTCTTGGAGGTGGAGGGGGGAGAACGTTAAACGAAATTTTAATTTCAAACGGCCCAACTACCTAAATACGTCACAAAACTTTTGATAGCCCTGGATGATTCTTGCAAATATTTTATTATTATCTAGAATATAACAAATTAATTTATAATACAATACCATCAGAAAGTTCAGACGAACATTAGGGTTCTGGAAGATAAAAGAAATATAAATTCTTCAAATAAAGAAAGTAATTATAATAAGGATATTTCTATTGTCAAATGAATTAATTCTTATAATTTAATTAGCAAATTATATATAGAAACTTTTTGTAATATAAAAGACTTTAGACTTCTTATATTAAAGATTGTATTAAACCTTTCAAACTATATATCGTATATAATATTAAATTATTAAAGTTTCTACGACTTTTGTTATTCAAATCTAAATAAATATAAACTTCTATAAAGATATAACTAATATTAAAGATAATAAAGCTAATCTAACAATGTGGAACCCGTAAAAAGACATTAGGGGATTTATTAAGAGTGCCGTTTACTTTATTTTTAGCTGCTGAATTAATAAGTTTATTCTTCATATCCGCTGGAGCAAAATCTCCACTATCTGAAATCATCAAAGCAATCGCTCCTGCAACTAATTAAGTAGAACGCTTAGGATAAATCCTAATTAACGCAAAAAAAAAAAAAAAAATGCTTATTAAATATTTATGATTACAAACCATGGGGGGCTGCTTGACTAGTTCCTATATAATCTGACAAGTCTGAAGGAGAAGAACTTCCAGCTGCCACGATTCCGTTACCTAGTTATAAAAATAAAATTAATTATTATGGATATAAAAAAATATTTATTGCCCACTATGACAGATCTGCAAAGTCTAAATTAATACTTCAATGTATGGGGGGTTTTTTTTTTTTTTTTGAACCCCAAGATAGTAGTTATCTGCATTTTTATGGGTCCTTTTACGATATATTAAATTAACGGAATTTAAAAATAGACTGCCATAGTGAAAATTCTGGTATTTAAATAAAAGATAAATCCACAGTAATACACAATCCAAATTTTAATTTATTACCTGGAGCGAATATATCAACGCAAGTTCCATAATTTGAGAAACTTGCCATATTAGCTGAATTATCGGTAGCTCCAACTGCTGTGCAATTAGGCGCTGACGACGGTGAATAACTACAAGAATCGTCATCATCATTTCCAGCAGCACAAACGACATGCATACCTTGAGCTATGCATGATTGAACTGCGTTATTAAGAGATGTTGAATAACCACCACTTAATGACAAACTATAAAAATAGAATTAATTGAGGTTTTTCAAATACTAAAATACCTAAATGTAAGAATGGTAGTAGAAATAAAATATTACTTAATCACTGAACTCCGGCCGCTATTCGAATGTTGTTGCATACACCAGACTAATCCTGAAATGATATCACTGTTCTGGCAAGAACCTCCAGAGTCACAAACTTTAACGGCATATAAATTACAATTTTTTGCCACACCATAAATTTTTCCTAAAATAATTTCAACATTTAGCCATATTTTAAGAAATTTTTACAATAATATTTTACTGATCATTTTATTACCTCCAATCTATTAATAAATTATTAGATTTAAATTTGTTAGAAAACAATAATAATAACCATATTATAACTTGATCATTAGGATTTTAAATGTATGACATTGGGATTTACTAATAATACTTACAATTCCTGCGACGTTTGTTCCATGACTTCAAAAAAAAAATTTTTTTTCAAAAAAGTTAGATCATTTAAATTATTTGTTAAATGTAAAAATTAAATACATACCCATTATCATCACTGTCTGGACAACCGCTACATTCAGTTTTACCCCAAAATGCTCGTCCTTCAAATTCATTATTTGCTAAATAAATTCCTCTGTACGCAAAAAATGGTATTAATATACAAATAATAAATAAATTAATTAATTAGCGCGAAATTAATAACTTACGTATCAACAACATAAACATCTACGCCGTTGCCAGCACTACTAGGATAATTATAGATTCCATCTAAATTATTGGATTCTTGGTCAATACGATCCAAATTCTGAAAATTTGGATAAAATGTCAATAATGAGATTTTTTTTAATAGGGTTGTTTTTAATAAAATATTAAAACTTTAAAATGCTAATTAAAAAAAGTGTGCATACTGGAGGAGCAGAAGGAGAAGGACCTTCTGCTGAGTAACCATTGCAACTAGCTACCGTTACGGTAGGAGCTACGGTAGAAGCCACGGTAGAAGTTATGGCAGAAGTGGTAGTGGATCTACCGCGAACGGGCCTTGGTGGTCTTCTTAAAGCATCGGTTGAAGTATCAGTTGCTGCAGGGTCAACAGTACTGGTGGTAGAACTCTTTCCGATAGAAATTCCTAAACCTCCTGAAACTCCTAAATTTAAAGGCAAAGAAAGTTTTACCGGGGATCTTCGTCTGTTATCATGATTTCCATGATTTCGACGATAGTAAGGAGAAACAATAGTAAAGTTTGAATCGGGTTCGACACTTGACACGCCAGGTTGTCGAGCCAAATAGCTAGCATCGCTCGGGTGAAAAGACCCGACGTAGCAATTGAATGAGTCAAAACTAACGTCTCTACACGTAGAACTACTTGTACTAGAAGTACTAGAAGTGCTAGAAGAGGAACTATTTGTAATTGTTTTATTAAAGCATTGTTGTAACATTGCGTAATGAGCCTGTTTATCACTCTCTGAGGCAAGTTGAACAATGTATTTTTGCTGGGGTGCATTAGAATTAGTTGATGAAGGGCAATTGTATGATTGTGTTTGTGATTGCGGTGTTGATGTCGGTTGCGATTGTGATTGCGGTGTTGATGTCGATTGCGATTGAGTTTGTGATTCAACGAATGTTATTAAATAAATTATAAAGAAGGTTATTATGGTTTTAGAGAAACGTGCCATATTCTATTTTTAATGAGAGTTAAATAAGAAAGAATGACAAATAACGAGTGTTCAGAATGGAATCTGAAGCGAAAAATGAATGAATTTCGAAACAATTTGTGAATAAAAATTTTGAAAGTGTCTTATATTGATGAACCGATATAATGTTCGTTAACATTTTATAAAGCACAAACAATTAAGCATAGTTAAAAATGTTAGGTCTACTACTTTGTATTCGTGTTTCCTAGCATAATGAATGAATTCTGTTTATAATTGAATACAATTATTTGTAAATTATTTTCAAAATACTTAATTATTGTGCATAGATATTAATTTTATGCATACGTAGAGTTATTGATATTTGCTATATTAATTACAAAATGCATTAATATGCGGCTCGTAGCAATAAATAAACCGAATCGGATGCTTCAAAAATTATAAATTCTAACATTTGTTTATATTATAAATGGTTTAACGGTTTAAGGAAAATGTTATTGTAAAATACAGTAAAGGAAAGGTTACTGCAAATGGAATAAAAGAAATGCGATAAAAGGAAGTTTGCTGCAAATGCGATAGAAGAATGTACTGTACAGTATTGCCAACTTACACGCGCGTATCAAAAACGTAGTTATTAAATAACAAGATTTATAGTTTACCTAGAATAGTATGTACGCAAAATTTTACATTATTTGACTGGATGGCACAATTATAGCAAACATATACTGGCAGGATTTTACGTTATAATACATAAGCGTGGACCAAAAGATGATTTGTAGATCCCCTAAATAAGTAGCTAAAGGGTAATATCGTACGTACGTACGTACGTACATGTGTAATATTAGTCATGAAATATGCATGCATCAAATGTACTGCATTGTATGTTGCAAAAATATCCAGCTTCCGGAAATTTATATTTTTAAAGGCTTTAAAGGCCCGAGGTCATCAATTTCTTCCTGGTGGCTCACATTGTGTAATGACTAGAAATGGTCATCATGAACTACCCCAGTAGCACCGACAAATTTTCACTGATCGACATAAATTGACCAATTAGATTTTAAGATCAGGCGTAACGTGAAAATCATGCGTTATTTAAAAAATTTTAAAAAATAGCAAATAACTCAAAATTTTATATATGAAACTACTTACTGTGCATTAGTAAAAAAAATTCCTTGCCAAATTTTGGTATAAAAAAAGCTCCTATGCGATCATAAGATCAAAACCTAAGCCTAGTATAATGTTTTATTATTTTAAAAGTCGTTATTTTGATCAAATCTGATTGGTGTCGATCAGTGAAAATTTATTGGCGCTACTGGGGTAGTTGTCATCATGTCATGCATGCATGCACCAGATCAATCTCGGTCTAACATAATTATGATCACTATGATTAATTGTTGTAAATATTAAAATCATAAAATTTCCATTGAAATATCTCTTGAATCAGTATCATAAATAAATCATTCTTATTGGATTTTTTCTTAATGTTATTAACACGACAATGCCCTTTTTAAGGTTTCATGCCATTTGCTCGACACTAACAATATTTTTGAAAATATTGTTAAGAAAATAGTAGTCAGGCAAATTGTTGTCGAGCAAGTGACGTGAACTCCTTTTTAAATAGTTTTTTTTTTTTCTTGGAAATTATTAATAATAATTGATTTTATCAGGTATATTAAAAAATAATAAAAGTTGCTTGCCACTTTAAAAGTCGTATTAAGAATAAAAATAATTTCCTCAATGCGATTTGATAGTTGTTGAGATGATGTTCAATTATTACAATTAACCGAAATAATGATTGCAATCGTTGCTTGAGCCGACTATCCTTGTTACAATCCTTGTTTTACTCCATTATCGGTATGTCTTCAGCAAAATAGTAGCAAAAAAAAAACGACTACCCAACCAACAAATGAAATTTCTTCTTTGGCAACACCTCAACGATTAAATAAATATATACTGTAAATATAATTATTTTGACGTAAAAGTTAGAAATAACAATCATTAGACAGCTTGGCCCTTTGAGTTTCCTGTAATTTTTTTATTAGCGATAGGTGTTTCGAATATAAAAAGCAACACAATAATTTTTTGACGATATAATTTCACTAAAGTTCCACAAAGTGCTTGAAACCTCTTTTTATACTCTATTAATAAGAAGTTTAGCCGATCAGCGTTAAAAAGATGGCCTACACCTCCAGATTTTTTTAGTGAAGTAGTAACTCACTTCAATACTTGATAAGTTTTTTTGACTCCCGGTTATTTATAATTTTTTTTCCGATCAATTGATTTAGGCGCTTGAGAATGGGTCCGTATTGTTTCACCGACAATCACTTCATAGACACCATATTTCACAGACAATTATTCATCGACAAGTTCATTTTACCGACAGTCTATTTCACCGAAGCTCATTTTACCGACAAGTTTTTTTTTATAAATTACACTAACTTTAACTCTAGTTCTAACCTAACTCTAATGATATTGACCAGAATTACTTTGTCTGTAAAACGAGCTTCGGTGAAATAAACTGTCGGTGAAACGAACTTGTCGGTAAGTAATTGTCAGTGAAATGTGGTGTCTACGAACTAATTGTCGGTGAATTGATGGGATCCCCTTGAGAAAATCCTTATTAATCATTATTGCTGTGTTGTCTGCACTATGTAATTAGATGTTATTAAATACTCCTGCAACAAAAATAATCTGGCTCAGGTCACCCAATTTGATCTAATATAATGATTAATCATTTATAATATTGATGATTGCGAATTATTCCGCTGCCTAGCTTCAACTAACCAACGATTAGACATAACAGTACAATAAATGTCCTTACATATTAGTGATATATACTAATGATACAGGCGAGTCGTCATAATTATAATAAGTTACGGCATTTTTGCCGTTACTTTATGTTACGACAATTCGCTTGCACCTCTAATATATACCGGTATTAATTAAAATCAGAAGATTTTAAACCTACTCTTTTTTTTAATGATAAAATAAGTTGATTAGTCTTAAATTTCAACAATGTCTCGCTTCTGCATGGCATCTTTTTGCGTTTTTTTTTACACAGTAATGTTACACATGAGTTGAGTTGCCTCTTATAAGTTCAATTATTTATTTAAATGATGGATATTATATGCGATTGATGACAAAAATCGAGTATATGCTAAAATCAAACGTGTTTATTGTAGTTACGCACTAAGAAGGGTTAAGGTGAATTGCATTTGCAAAAGAAGCAAAAATTAAATGTATTTGATGATAAAGTAGTCGTATAATATGAGTATAAATTAATATGATAGAGCAACCTGCTATTTATACATTTTAACTATATAGGATCATTGACTATTAAATTTACTAGCTACACAATAATATTCTTTCTAATATTTTACACGATATAATTAAGCATTCTTGGCTTCCTTGGCATGCGTGATTTCTGCACGACATTACGGTTAGGTAGATGTGAATTAATCATGATAGTCTTGTGATTTATCCGAGTTATTTGAACTTTGAACGACCTTCAGGTCTATCAGTAATATTTACTAGCGCTAGCAAATCTTTTTTATGGTTTCAGCTACGTTTCGTTCGGATTCTTTCAAGCCAAGTTCTAAATTTTATTTTATATCACAACGTTATTAACAACTTTTCAACCTCAACTTCTTTTAAAACTCAGTTATGCGTACAGTACATAGTTTACATCATAACTTTATTAATAATTTATTTCTATAGCTCTTTGTTCCGCTTTATTTCAAGCTTCATACAATATTTGTTTGGGCCGTTAAAAGTTAATTAGTTGGTCAACATCAATATTTTAAGTTCAGCCGCTGCGAAATGAAGAAAAATTTAAACACAATATATGCCATAAAGTATTTTATTAATTTTATTGACCAACTTTGATCACATGGTTACTGAAGATTATTCTATGCTATGATTGGCTTTTTTAATTTTGAGAGACAGAGAAATGAGATAGCCAAATGGTCAACTTTAAATGGCTTCATATTCTCTCATTATATTATGATTACATTTTTTTCATACAATACGTACTATCTTAAATTTGTTTTCTTTAGACAAGAAGACCCTCCAGATTATTTTGATAAAATAGTATGGCAGAATCATACTGAAATTGCGTAAATTAATTCAGATAATGACATCATATGGGCTAAATTTTTTGATTTGAGTGATGATTAAAAATTAAATGATAATAGTTTATAAAATTTGATCCAATAGTTGATATCGTTGATGTGATATTGCGTAATTGCCGGGATTAAAAAATAAAAATATAATAAAATTTATTTGAACGTTTGTAATTGATTGGCTGATTGATTTTTTTGTTATGCAATGCTTATGAACCCGCTTATAAATAATTATGAATAATTTAATTTTTTCTTACCGACTTTGATAATTAAATAATCAAGAATAACGTCATATATATATAATAAATATAGACATATTCTATCATATCACTTAATTTTGTTAATCACAACGTTCCCATCAAAATCCTGGCCCATATGTGTGTTTTGGATTTCGGCATAAATTATGAATTTTTTCCGTAATGACCCGAATTAAGTTTAATTTAGGCCAAAATTTGAAATTACCCCTCTGTGCGTTATTTATAGAGCGTCCTCAAGCATCCTGAATGTAATTTTTAGTACAATTAGCTATTATTATAAGTTTTTACCGATTTCCATATATTAACTAGTGACTTAAACCGAAAATCGGTTTAACCGAATTATTCAGGCTAGACCCGAGTTAACCGGATTAACTGACTTAACCGGATCTGAGCTGAATTATAGCTACTA